ACTTCCCCAATCCTAATTGGCACTCCATTAGAAAATGTAAAAAAAAAAGAAAAGAAAAGAAAATGTAAGCTAGAAAGATCATTCTTCATATATTAATCTGTATTTATTGAGATCTATCAGGAATAATATCATGCCTACAGGAGACTTAGCGGCTACCATGCCTTTTCCAGTTCTTACAAATTACTTTAGGTGACTTGTTTTCATGGGCTGTTTATTTTGATTTTTTATTTATTTATTTATTTTTGAGTTAGAGTCTTACTTTTGCCCAGGCTGGAGTGCAATGGCATGCTCACAGCCACTGCAGCCTCAACCTGCTGGGCTCAGGCGATCCTTCCGTCTCAGCCTTCCAAGTAGCTGGAACTACAGACACATGCCACCATACCTGGCTGGTTTTTGTGATTTATTGTAGAGGTGAAGGTCTCATCAAGTTGCCCTGGTTGGTCTTGAACCCTAAGTGTTGATATTTTTTCCATTCTGATGAGATTCTCAGACAGTCACTATGTTACATGAGTTAAGAGTCCTGGACTTACATAGAAGGGCCCTAACTCTGACACCTATAAGACATCTGAGCAAGAGCTTCCCGTTCCGTTCCTTCAAGCCTTGCCTACTCCCCTCATTGGCAAAACCAAGATTAAAATCCGATAATTCAAAAAACTATAAACGTTAATTAAGTGAGCATAACTGCATATGTTTTGTGAATTCAAAAACTGCATAACCATTTAAAATATTATTAAACGAAGCTTTACTTGTTTCATTCAAAACTTAAAGAAACTTTTAAAATTGAATTTTCTAAAAACATTCCCAAAAATCTTTGAGGAAACTTGACATGGGACAAGGACTCTGTGCCGTTCCCCCTTAGTATGGCCTACAACCTACAGTCCTGAGTTCACTTTGGAGACGACAGAAAAAGCTGCCATCATGTTTTAGGGCTGGAAGCGGTCTGGGAATGCCATTGATCTCTTGGACAGAGACAAGGACACTGAGGCTCAGAGCCAGTAAATGACTGTCCTCATGGCCTAGGGGGTAGTTAGTTGGAGCTTGAGTAGTAATCAGGACTCTGGGCTCCTTATGCCACGTCTCTTCCATGTGTCTCTTCTGAATAGGCCATTATGGTACTGGGTAAGTCTGGTATGACTTGTTTGCAGGAGACCAATTGCTCACTGTGTCCAAAGCTAATACCAGGCTCTAAGCAAAAGTACAGGGTAACATTCTCCTTTTCTGGAATAGTATAGTTTGATCACATAAGAAACAATATTAGTTGACAGGGTCATCACTAGACTAGATGGCCCCTTTGTGCAAACTAATAAACAGCGCCCCTTTCTGAAGACCCTTTACATCCACATATGAGAAAATCTGTCTGAAAATTCAGAAAATCCAATTCTGTTAAAGCAAGACACTCGACTGCCATCTGTTGGAAGATAGTTGTAATAAATATATTCATCTGTGATACTTGTGATGTGATATCCCTATCCCTTATATACAGTGCACAGCCTGCATGACTGTACCCACCACTGTCTAGCCTTGAGAATGTGTCACGTTTTAATAAAAGGGCTTTGGGCTCCAAAGAAGAAATATACAAATCAGTGGCAGCTCCAACCGCCCATCGAAGAGATTACACACAGGTTGTGTTGGGAACGGGACTGGACTGCAGCTGAAGAGGGGGATATCGTTTACAAGGCTGTCTGTGAGAGCCACTTCACAGGCACTGCTGGCTGGGGAGAAGCTGGGGGGTGATTCTCAGGCCTAATGCTGACACCACTCCACTGAGAGAAAAGAGTCTGCTTTCTGGGTGCCTGCAGGAGTGACAGTGCCTTCACTCTGTTGGCTACCAGGATGACATCCGTGAAAACCTGAACACAAGAAAGCCAGGTGTGCGAGTTAGTTCAGTATTTTACATCCTTTGTTTATCATTTACACGCTCTATCAAATCCTGAAACTAGCATAGCTACGAGAAAATGCCTTTTGTCCTTCCTAGATGAAGGAGAAAAGCTTGGCTCAGCAGGACAAGGCACACTGATGTGCTTTCTATCTAGAACCCTGTCAGCTGCCTGTCTGATTCATTCAGTAAGTCAGCAAAAGTATACCGAGTTCTGCACCAGCTAACTGATGCTGCATAATAAACCACCCCAACATCCAGAATCTTGAAAGCAACATCCATCTACATAGCCCATGTTCTATGGGTTGGCAGTTTTGCCTGAGCTCAGGGGGCCATTCTTTAGTCTCAGCGAGACTCTCATATGCATCTGCAGGCAGTTGGGGGTTGCTTGGTCTGGGAGAGACTCAGCTGGTAGTCTCTGAGCTTCCAGCAGTTCAGACCAACCTGTTTGCATGGGGGCAGAGCAGGGTTCTAAGCTAGTAACCGAATGTGTACAAGAGCCCTTGGGGACTAAGTATGGACTGACGCGGCATCACCTCCCTCTCATCTAATTGTCAAAGCAAGTATCAGCGGAGAGTTAAGGCTGGGAAAATAGATTCCACTTCATTATGGGAACAGCTGCAAAGTCACATGGTAGAGGGCACAGACACAGGAGGAATAAAGATTTGTGGGCATTTTTGCAATTTATCACTAGTACCAAGAATAGGTGAGATGCTAAGTACTAGAGATAAAAAACAAAATGCTGCCTTTAAGGAGTCCTAAGACAGATGCAGAAGATAATATGGAAGCAGACTGTTAAAATTCTGCTTGATTAGTATCATGGTAGGGATATATTACTTCTCTGTGATTAAAACTGAGGAACCTGGGATTATTAACACATTACGCCATCCACAGCCAGAGGTACATGCGAAGCAATCTTATATCCCTGTTATACCCCAGCCAGAGTTTCACGCTGATGCTGTCCTCAGCATGGGAGATGCATATGACCCAGCCCATCTGGTCATATTTGCCTGGCCAGCCACATCTTTGTCTCTAAAGGATGATATTTCAAGCGTAGCTTCTTAGACATTTCCATTCATACTGGGTCTGCTTTTCTGGCCTTCTGTAGCTGTGCAGTGAGGGTGATGACAATGACTTTTTGTAATTAACCAGAACATTCCATATCTCTTGCAGGGGGGAGAAGGTGGTAGAGGTTTGAGGGGAAACAAGCATATGTGTGGGGGTGTCAGAACATGGGGTTTGGATGAATGTGATCTTATGCTGGGAAGAACCCTCCAAGGCAAAACACACCAGGAACTCAATGGCTGTTTTACAAAACTGGCCTTGAGGATTGACGCTCAGAACACAAGACTTGCCAGCTTCTAAGAAAGCTTCTGTTCTGTCCCAGTCTTTCAAACAGTGCCACCTGGTGGACTCTAAGTGCTCAGGACCTCCTTGGCAGTGTGGGTGAGACACCACCACCCCCCTCACCCCCCACTCCCTCCACCCCCCACCCCCCGCTCCCACGGCTCCCTTGACTGTTGTTTTATCTGGCTAGGCCTATAGGCCCCTTTACAGAGATAGGAAGACGGTGCAGCAGACAATTTCTGGTCTGCACCTACTTCCCCCTCCTTGAAGGATCCCATGATCATCACGGTGGCTGTGATGCTTCCCTGGATGCCTGGTTTCTAGCAAAGAAGTCTGAGGACAAACAGACAACAAAGATACTAGGTGTGCCCATGAGAGCCGGTTCTGCTTCCCAACTTGTTTAAGGCACGTCTTATATATGCATGTACTGTTGGCAGCAGACCTCAGAGATGCCTAGTCTTGAGAGTTTTCAGATATGACTCTGGGAATCACACACTAATGATACCGCGGAACCACAGACCCGCAAAGCAATGTCTCAGGTGTGTGCCTCTGTTTGAATTCCCCATTCAAAGGGACTATAACAAGGATTTGAGTGCAAGTCGTTGATTTGGGAAGTGACCTCAGGAACAACTGTTGGGGAGCTGGGAGGTGAGACATGGAAGGGAAGGAAGTCAGTCAGGGATGTGTTGTCAAGCTGCTTACCCTCTAACAAGTTTCCCTGGGAAACTCTGGCAGAACACATACCTCAGGGTTATCCCACCCAAGGGGACAGGGAGCCGGGACATTTGTGCGCCCTCTGTGATCAGTCATGCTTAAGGGCAGATGCAGAGAGTGATGTCTGGCCTGAGAAACAGAGTCCACTAATGCTGCTGATAAAAGGACGAGAGATTCCAAGTCTCTTTGAGCATGGGAGAAAAGGTAAGCTTAGGGCTACAAGAAGTGGCTTAAGTGTTTGGTGGGGGTGGCTGTGATGACTGGGTGAGAGAACCAGAAACTCGTCTTACCATATGTGAAAAGTCATAAGATCAAGTGCAACATCAGCGTGGAAGGGTTTCTTCAGAACTAAGCCCAAGGAAACTGCTGTCAGGGATCAGGACAAAACACTAGTTCTAAGTGAGACTGTGCTGCTGACTGTGGGACAGGACAGCAGGAATTCCACAGGCTTAAGAAAAAGATCTAGATAACAGCAAGGTAGACTGCAGACCTGTAGATGCATCTAAAGGCCTACCATGTGATAGCAGTACTTATCAGATAGTTCCACAGATGACTAATATCGCTCAGGATAATAGATCTATCAAGAGCCAAAGAAGCTTGGAAAATGCCAGGTCCTCAAGTTTCTTCTCCCTGCAGCTATTGGATCTTTACCATTCTACTGTACATTACAAATCTCTAAAAGAAAGAAAGAAAGAATGCAGCATTTCCCAAACATATTTGACTGCGAAACCTTTTTTTTTTTTTTTTTGCTCCCAAACACCTTTGAACAGTTCTCAGTAACTAGTGTTCCCCAGTACAGTTTGGAAAACACTACACCAGAAGCATTTTATAAGGAACAATCAATCAACTTACTATAAGATTGCCTACAGGAAGGGAAGTCCACGCATTTTGAAAAGCGACTCCACATGACGTTTTTCTTGCCAGTGTGTTTTCTAAAAACAACTTAACCTGAACTGTCCCCCAAGCCTTCCCACCCTGCAATTGTAGGTCACATCTTCTCAGAGGCTAGAAATCAAAATGGCCAATTCTCCAGCATTTCTAACCATTTCTTTCTGCCTTCCAGATGGGCTTCTTTCGCCGAAGGTACAAAGAGATTATTGAAGCAGAGAAGAACCGGAAAGAGAACGAAGACAGTTGGGACTGGGTCCAGAAAAACCAGTGAGCTGCCACACTTCCATCACGTGACCCAATCACTAGCCTGTCATTCTTGATCTTTGTATCTTCCATATTTGGAAGAAGAAAATCTTCTCCAGATTTTTCGGAGGCCCCACTGATGCTGTTCTCTTCATCGTTCTATCAAGCCCAGGTGCCAGCCTGGGGCAGCCACTTCGGTCGGGTCACATGACCGAGGCCACCACCACTTCCTTTTGAAGATGAACTCCGAACTTGGGAAAGCAAGCTACAGAGCCGAGCGATATTTATGGATGCAACACGCATGGTCAACCCTCAGGGGAAAACTGTTACCTAAAAGTATTTTTATAAATATAAGCATTTTATACTGATTATGTCTTTATATTTGTATCGATGTTTTATTATTTCTATTAAATAGTTCTATAATTCATTCAAGCACTGATATCTGGCCTAAAATCTTGGAAGTACATGTGTGTGATTACAAATTTTAAAGGATGAAAATCTTACTGTACTTTGGAACTTGCTGTTGAGAAAGACTTGCAGATGCAATAAGCTGAAGAAACCTCAAGTAATGAGTCCACCAAGCTGGCAGTGGTGTGTATAAACTGTGGATGTGGCAGGCCCCCTAGGACGGTTCACATCTTTATTGCCTAGAGTCAAGTATGAAGTCATGAGCTAAAGAACTGTAAGTGTTTTTTCACATGTACCTTTCATTGGAAGATTCCCAACAAGACTTTGGATGGAAAACCTGATTCCTAGCAACATGTCTGCTCTGCATCACCCTTATGCAGCAGACATCTCACCCTCCTTCTACTCTGGTTGATGGACAAAAGCTTGGAACAATGCCAGTTGGTCATCTGGTAAACCTCAGAGCTCTTCTCATCCTGGATGTTGTGCCTCAGAGTTCACACACCACAAGGACTCAGTGTTCCCCACACAAAGACTTGGGTCTGAATGCTGTGAGGCATTGCCTTTTCACGGTCATTTTAGTTCAGAGGTCTCCACTTTCCTTCCCCACTTTGGCTGTCCCAGCTAATGATAATTACAGATTCCTTCCCAGAGAGGACCATTTGATGTTTTTTTGTTTGTTTTATTTTGGATTTGGTTTTTTTAAGTGTCTCAGATGGGGTTCCCAAGAAGCAGACCCTGAAACAAGGATTTGTGTGCAAATAACTTATTGCAGAAGTGTTCACAGGGGCTACCAGCAAGGGAATGGGGGAAGCAGGACAGGGAAGGAGAAAAAGCCAGGCAAAGGTGTCATTTCAGGGAAAGTTCCATGGAGTATAGCTTCAGCCTGATGAGGGGCGTTCCAGAAGGTAAGTTAGGCCTCCAAGTTGTCCCAACCTGAGGCAAGGAACTGGGCTTTTGTATTTCTGCATCTAGGAGAAATATAAAATTCTGCTCTCAGTTCCTGCTGGCAAAATGGCTCTCATAGCTCAGGGACGGACTTCTAAAGGAAAGCCACACCCTCATCCTGGGGGAGACACACAGAGATGATGCAAAAGAAAGGATGTAAAGGGTTCTAGACAAAGCACTGAAGGCCGCCCCACTCCCTGCATATGTGAATGCTGAGTTAAGACCTTCAATAGCCAAGCTCTCGGTGTGACAGAAAATATTTTGTCAGATGCACTGTGCTACCCAGTTACAAGAGATGATGGATGTATCATGCCCGGTGCTGACCTGGCCTATAGTGATCGCTCAATAACTGTGAGCAGCTATGGCTGCTGTTCCCGCTGATGGATAACCATCTAACAAGACAGAAAACATAGAGCTAAGTGCAGCAACTAACAGAGTCTTAATGACTTTATCCATCCTGCCAAAGGCCCAGCTGCATACAGATGCCATCCACACATCCAGTGGGAATGAAACAATATGTAAGACCAAAGATCCTTTTATAGGGCCTTGTTTACTGGAAGCTAACACATTGGGAGTTTGTGAACATTGTTGAAAAGACACCAAACTCAGCTTTAGGAGAGACAGGTTTTCTGTATACAGATTTGGCTAAAGTCTTGGCAAAATTATGAGGGTCCTGGGAAGATGTGAATTTGGCATGGAGTGTGTCTGTGGGTTTCTTGTTATTATGCAATTGATTCTGTGGCAGAAAGGTTATAAATGTGTCTTGCTTCCCTTCCTGGTGAACATGGGAACAGACAAAAAAGCCAAGGTCGATGGGAAGAACTGAGATGACCCTGAAGGTCAGGGATGCTGCTTCTAACCATGGGATGGAGGAACAGAGTTAGCTATAGGACAAGATCAGGCAAAGAAACCAGCTGTCACTCAGAGTTTGCCTATGAGTTTGATCAAAAGCAGTAAGAAAAGTAGTCTTGGGTGATTTTAGTCACTCATTTAACAGCCATGTATGTATGTCAGGCACTGTGCAAGGTGCTGGAGTTTCCCCAGAGCACATCACGGGCATATTTTGCCCTGGGGTGTCAAACTCTCCTGCAATGGCATGTAAAATTTGGATTTATTAATGGAACTCCATCTGCAGTATTCCTTTGATGGATTCTTGTTAATAATGTCATACTGTCCTTTAATAAAACATTTAGGATTCTTAGGTGATAGACCCAGGACAGCCCCATCAAGGGATATAGGTGTATTGGTGACAGAATACAATGGTGGCTTTCAGGCCTGCAGTTCTGCCAGCCAGAGGGCAGAGCCCCATTTGGGGAAGGGTAGACTCCTATGGGCAGGCTCAGAGCTGGATCCATTTGCTTCTGCTTGGTTCTGCGTGGTAGGCCCATATCAGCAGTTGAAAACCCAGGAGGTCACTAAGACTTTATAAGGCATAAAAGTTTAAGGAAACCATACTTGGCATCAACAGGAGTAAATATTGGCAGCCATCCCAGGAACCTGTCTGGGGTAGGATGGTGCCTCTGCTTGTCTGACCATGCTGAGTACAGGGGCCAGGAGCTAACCACTCAGCACAGCGATAGAGAAGGAAATCAAGTGTACTGGTAGAGCTCTCAATTTGGGCAGTTCACCAGTTCCATCCCAGTTCAGATGTCTTCAACATGCTTTCGAGGGAAACAGGCAGGGTAGGTTGACATGTCTGTGTTACCTCTCCAGAATATTCTTTTAAGATTCCACAGTATGATCTACTGTCTACCTTCCTGCTTTTGTGGGTTCACTGTGGAATCCTATAAGATACTCTCTTGGGCAGCATTATTTCAGTTTCCTTCAGCTTTTAGTTGTGTATTCAGTATGGTTTTATCCACCTGTCAGAGGGCTGAGATGCTTTTGAAAAAGGACCTTTATAAAGATTGAGTACAATGGTGCCCCTGTTTCAAAAATGACTCAATTTATCTAGGACTCAAGAGAGTCTGGAGCATCCCCAAAGTGAGATGTGGGCCTGTGATGCTAAGTGACCATGAAATGTAGAAACTAGGGGACACTAGTAGGAGGGGTCAGGGGCCTCTGGCTCGAAGGTGACCAACAGGCACACATCTGAAATCACGTGCCACTGAGGTTTCCTCTGGCAGTTCTTCAGGAAACCTCTGTCAGCATCACCAGCACTCAGAGGTTTGGTAAACTTTGCGGAGAATTCAGAAGCAATCCTTGAGCCAAAGGCAAGGAGGTCAAAAACAAACAAAAACCCAGCAGCACTCCTGGGAACATCTGGGACCCATATTCCATGTGGAAGGATAGTAGGTCCCCCAACGATTCGTGTGCTGCGTGCTACCTGCTGAACCCTAGCATAGTGATTTCTTGAAAGGTTATTTATGACTTTTATTTTGGGGTGAGGCATTGTGGCCAACTGAACACAATGATTCCTGGGTCACATGTGCCATGTACTCCTGGTGAAATGTATGTCTGGTTCCAACTTCTCAACATTTAGAGGTACTGCAAAGGATTGTCATGTGGGGCCCTGAGCAGAAAAAGGCAGGGTGAGCATCATTTCAGAAATGCTTCGAGTATGCACAGCTTTAGTTGATGTTTTGTTTTGATAGAGTAATAATATACACAGTGGAGAATATTTTC